CAGCTCTTTTCCCCTCCCTGCCAGTTTCACATAATGCGCCTGAGCTGCTTAAGCCTGACCCAGCCAGAGCTGCTTGGGAGGCCTCTGGTGAGGGGAACGTCCAGCCAGCACTAATCCCCAAAGTCGTACCCCCCTTCCTTCTCCAGCTCAGCTGTTATTCCCTCCCCTCCTACCTTGCCACCCCTGTTTCATTTTCCCTCCCTCCTGCATCTGCCAGCTCTTCCTGTCTCTCTCCCCTCTCCAGCCCCCGCACCAGGGCAGAGCAGCCACCCCATCAGCCCAGGTGCCATGCTAAAGTCAGGGGGAGGGAAGAGTTCTTTACCCCCAGGAGGGAGCTAGGGCTAGATTCAAAGACAGTGAGTCTGTGGCGGAACTGGGACTGGAACTCAGGGATCCTGAATCCTAGGGTGTGACCTGCCTGGCAATCTAGGGCTCCCCTTTGCTCTACATGGGGCAAACACCCAGGGGTGTGTTTTCTGCTGCCCCAAACTCTCCTGCTGCTCTCCAGATGTGGCTGCATGTTGGGGGGGGAAGGGGGTGATGTGCTTGGGGACACAAAGGGGCTGGAGGAATGGCAAATGTTATCCTCCAACCAGCCTAAAGCACGCCAGGGAAAGGAGAAGCTGCAGCAGAAAAGGGAGCAGGGTTAGGCCCCCATCCCTGCCCAGGATCGGATCAGTGCCAGGCGCTCACTACCAGGCTCCTTCGTGCCAGAACGGCCTCCCTGGTGTCTGCGAAAAGCAGCTGCTCCCAGTCACCAGCGGGCCCGGCTTTGCGCCCAGGTGCCAATGACCAAGATGGCTGCCTCCACGGTCCACTGCATTGACAACAAGGCTTGTGGCTTGGGCAAGGAATGCTCTGGTGCCAGTAACCAACATGGCCGCCCAAACTTCACAGTGAGATTGCCACATCCTCTACTCACCACCTTGATGCAAGAGACCAACAGGGAGGCTGCCACCTCGGACGGGGGCCAGACACCAACATGGCTGCAACCACTGCCCTGTGAGGGGGGTGAGTCAGACTCTGCCAACCATCAACGAGGCTGGTGTGGAGTCGAAGTACAGCCGCACCAATGACCAACAAGGGCCAAAAACCTTTTATGCCAGTAACAAAGATGGCGACTAGGCGCCTCTGTGCCAGTAAACAAGATGTCCGCCAAGACATCCGCATTCGTCACTAATCAAGATGGACGCCTACTATGCCCCAGTCAAAAATGGCCGCCGTGGAGGCTTTAAAACCAAGATGGCCGTCGTTTGCCAGTAAATAAGACGGCTGGTTTTTTTAACCCAAAGATAACCAAGATGGCGGCTTTAAAAATTACCCCTAACCAAGATGGCCGCTCTGTACACACATCCATAACCAAAATGGTCGTCGCTTGCCAGTATACATGATGGCGGCGGCGGCTTCGCGGTGTGGGTAGAAACAGGAAATGTTCGCTCCTTATCTCCATCCCCCCCGAGGCACTTCCGGTTACTCGTGTTCGCGCGGCCCGGGTGAGCAGCATCGGTCAGTCCCGGTGCCCGGGGCTGCCTAAGCGGGGAAGGGCGGCGGGCCGGAGACCGCGTCCCGGGCCGGGCCGAACCATGTCGGACACGTGGAGCTCGATCCAGGCCCACAAGAAGCAGCTGGACTCGCTGCGGGAGCGGCTCCAACGGCGGCGGAAACAGGATCCGCTGGGTGAGGGGTTGGGGGCAGTGGGGGTCAAAGGGCGCGGGGGTCAAAGGGCAGAGAGAGACCATGGAGTTCAGAGGTCGGAGGGGCACGGGGTCAGGGACCAATCATAGGGCATTGGTGATGCAAGGAGGTCAGGGGGCAAACAAAGGGTCAAAGGGAAGAGGGTCAGGCGGCAAAGGGCACGAGGGGGCAGTGGTGACACCAGCAGGATTCCC